TGGGAGAATAGATGCCCTGTGGTAAGCGTTTGAGCTCCTTGGGAATTACATCTGCTGTACAGTGCTGCCAAACACACTTTGCAAATAAAACTCAATTGTTTGCTTGGCACATTCACTTGTGGGTGAACAGACCACTCTACGATTGACCCATTTTAACTTGATGCTCTGGCCAAGTCTAAAAGTAAACGGATCATTCAGAGAATATAAAATTAACAGGTCTGTATTGGCCAAAGGACTGTTATTTTCCACAAAGAGAAAGAATTGTGATGGCTATCTTCTATGTTTACCCGTTGAGCAAGACATATAGACTTGCATGAGACTTAAGGTAACCTCTACAAGTAAGAGGAAGAGTATCTTACAGATTATGACTCAGAGCACCTGGTATGAACACTTGAGTCTTTCTGATATATTTGACGATTATTTGACATTTATGGATCCTACTGAGTTACTTCTTGAATGATAACAAGATTGTCACCAGATCACACAGCAATGAGGTCCTTTACAGCAGCATCTTATGATAAATATGGCCTGGGTAAGGATCAGGAAGCTTTTGGCTGTGTTTCCTCCTGCTTCCTTTCTTCGAGACAAAGGTGGGTTTGGTTAAAGGAGAAAATAATTTGTCTGGTCACATACTCTTCTGAGAGAAGTAGTTCTTTCAGAGGAGCCGAGACGCCCTGTGAGGTCTGCAGGGAATACAGATGGGCCTGTTACAGTGTCAAGCCTTCTTGCAGATCTACAGCTTTCCACTGACAAATCAGCTCTGCAGTGGCTTCAGCAGACAGTTTACTTTAACCAGCCATGAGATAGCAGACCCATACAGAAATTTTCCCATTCCCTTCACATCATGTGCTGAGCTCAAACCAGCTTATAGTGTCTGATGGAACAGCACAAGAGAAAACAGGAACGTCAGCAATTAAACGCTCCCTGACTGCAATCACAGGAGCCTCAATCCCTGAGCTGATGGGGTGACAGACAGGGAAGCAGCTCTGCTCTTAACCTGAGCGTAATTTGTTCCAACAAACTCACCTGAAATGCTGGAAAGGAACAAACTAGATGGGTGAGTTATCTCAACTTCGACCCGTGCAACTTTTCTCAGTTTTATTCTACTTACCCTTTGCAGAAAACATTGTAGTGTTCCCAGACCGCATTAATGACAGTGAAGTGGAGAGGAAGTTATTTGCACTTCCTCATCTGGACAAGTTCAGTCCTGCTTTACTTCAAGTACTTACTGCCTTTAAGATGCCAGATCCCACTATCTCGAATTTACATACCGAAGCCTAACGCATTAAGTAAGGAGGTGTGCTACATGTGGCCACTCCTTCTATTGAAATTTGACCACAAGCAGCTCTATGGATTTTATTCACATTTATGGGATCCTATAGTTTTGCTGCTACACTGTTGCTAAACATCAGCATCATGAAATTACATATTTCAGGTTTCCCACATACATGGTCCCAGACTCTGAGACTTTCAGTCCTCTCTTAAGATTCTCTGCCTTTTCAAAACCAAGAGTTAAAATGAATGAACAGACATGGCCCACTTCACACACACATACAAGGAACTGTATTTCAACAGTGCTGGTTTCAAAAATTCTCATATTTTTGCCAATTCCAGCAGAACTAGAGCATGGGGAGGATTTCTGAAAATCCAGTCCATCTTAGAAAAACCTTTAATTACCAAGCAGGGCATTTCACTACCATTCTTTTGCACCTTTTTGTTGCAGGCACCCATCTCTTCTCTATCAACCTTTCTTCTTATGCGACATGCCAACTGACAGGCTGGAAGGCATGAGTTTCACTCCAGCTTTTTAACCCTGAGTTTAAATATCAGAGCAACTCATGTCAAGAGAGGAAAGAGACCCTCAGCTGCAGTTAATCTCACACTTCCCATTTGGCTGCCAATAGGATCCCACCCCCTTCTCTCCACTCTTCCCCGTGCAGATACGAGGGGAGAGCAACCCAGGCTGCCTAGCAAATGCCACCCTGGAAAGAGCTAAACTTCACTGCAATCCCAATTCTTCCCTTTGATCTGCCACACTTCCCACCTAAGCCTTGAAAATGGAGGGCTGGTGAGGCTTGGCACAGTCAGACTTTGTGTTGGGGGGGCAGAAGGGCAGACCCTCACACTCCCTTTCCCCTTCTTCGCTTCAGCAAGTTCCCACTGGCAGGAGCCTCAGTTCAGCTCTTCAGTTTGAGAATCAAACCTCTCAGTTCATCTGCAAGGAGAAAATGACACCAACCGTTATTCTCACAGTTTTATTTGTAAAGGACATAGCATGAAAAGCTGTATTTCAATGTACTTCAAAACCTGAAAAACTCATGTTGTCAGTTTGGGGTATGTATGTTAAAGTGCTTGATATAACAATACTTTTACTCATGTCGTCCTGAAAATTATCCAGTTCTTATTCAGTTAGTAATAATGTAAAGACAAAATATACTTAATGGAGACATGTAAGGATCATTTTAAGCTATACAGGGCACATTTGTACATTTCAAGTGTAACATACAATATTTCCCCTTAAGATGCGCACCTTCACTTGACTGAAAGGAGGAATTTTCTCAAATATGCCGTTGCGCAACCATTTTAAAAAGACATTTTTGAACAATGATATCTAATTACACAAACCAACTTGGAATAAACATGAGTAGATTTCTCACTAAACAGTAAAATTTCATTCATTTTAGAGAATTATAAATACGTATTTTGTACACAGTGAGGCATTTGATTCTCTGACTCCCTCAAGTTATCACGCTGTATGTTAGTATAACAGGACGATGCAAACTCAGACACCTGCGGATGGGTATTGGATAGGATTTTTTCTTCTTTAAAAAAAAGCAGACACCAGAGAGCTTTGGTCTTTTCCAAGTTTCCCTTTCTCAACCACAGAAGGTGCTTTAACACTGAAGTAAAAACTGTTAGCTTAGAAGAATCCTGATGGGTTTCTCACCATCCTAGTGGGTAGAATGATATCTATAAACCTTAGAGAAGAAAACTCATGGTTTCCAAGAAACAAAAGTGGTCTACTAAGGAAAAAAATACAGGGTAGAATAAAAATTCACTACAAAGAATCGTACTTCCGAAGTTGTCAAATAAGAAATCTTCCAGGAATCTGAGGCACTCAGCTCTGCCCCTTTCAACATAACTTAGGGTGTTTTATTGCCTACAGGGAAATATTAGACATACATAATTTTTGTTGTAAATGATGTGAAACCTGACAAAACCAAACAAGTCAACACTTGCTGAAAAAGCCAATGTGAAGTTGTGTTAAAGTGCTAAAGGTTCCTTAATGTAGCTTGAAAGGGGGGAAGGTCCTGTTTTGAATTCGAAAATTTCTCAGGTTTTGACTTGTTTTAACTTAAGAAACACTTTATTTAGTTATTTCCCTTTTCTCTGTGTGTGGTTTATTCATCTATGCTTGACCTTTAGAGGTGTCTGTATTTCTACTTTATCCTGCTTGCACTTAAATTGAATCATGTTGGATGACTGTTACAACTGCTGAAGTCATGAACAGTCTTTGGAGAAGTATGCAGCAGTGTACTTTTGAGAAGTATCCAGCTAGCAAATGCAGATGATGCTGCAAAGAAATCCAAGGACTAAAGAGGTTGTTATTTCAGTAAAATGAAAGTCACTTAGACTGGTTTGGGCTTGAAAAAAATCATGTATAGCAGTAATTAGACATAAAAGGCCTGAGTTGCAATAGAAATCAAAACATCCTAAATAGTCATTACCAAATAATGCCGCCACATGGTTTCTGGTGCTAAATGTGTAATTTATTGATAGAGTTAACTATTAGGGACACATTTCCAGTTGCTGCTGAAGGGTTGTCGTGTATTTTCTACTGACTTTAAGCAGAATTGCCTGGCCACACTGAAAAGCCTCACCCCTCAAATTTCACATTTCTGGAAATGCAAGAGAGATGTCGCACATCCGTGGGCTCTGGCTTCTAACTCATGACACCATTCACAGCCTTTATGTTAGTTACTCACACCCACGGCAGTGACATGGCAGTGCTGCCTACAGTATTTGGGATGAGTTTAGTCAGTTTAAGGAAGTACAAGCCCAGGTGGAAAGAACGGTTATTAAAAAGTGGAACCCTCATAAAAGTCAATGACTCCCTGACAGTGTTGTTTTTCTTCTTTCTTAAAAATAAAAAACCCTTCTTAGCATAAAACTCTCCCTGTTAATGAAATAAAGTCACATGAAGAGTTTTCTTCTGGCTGGGAATATGACGTGAAACTTTTACACTAAAGCAAGTGTTGTAAGAACTGGACAGCAGAAGGACCACAGGAAAACAGAGAAGCTTGGCAAAAGGCAGGGGAGAAAGCAAACCCTAATTTTCTTCCTCTTTCCTTTTTCTTAGCTCTTATTCTTCTCTCCACCACGTGCAAACCATATCAAGACCTGCTACAGCCCACCATTCCCCTCCTAATGCCACTTGAGAGCACAGCACAAGGCAATAACCAGTTAGGGCCTTTCCCAGTCCACAGCTGACAGTGAGACAACCACAGAAATCCACTGACAAAATGGGAATAAACAAGTCAAACAAACACCTATATTTAAACTAACCTCCAAAACCTAAAACCAGATGAAGCCAACTATGCCCTCAGATCCTTTCAACTCCTATCCACAAGACAGAAAACATACTCTGCATTTGCTGCATGGTATCCTCAAGATAATTTTAATGTAATCTCTTGTTAAATTTTTAGCATACAAGATTTCAGTTGATCCCAGTTCCTCTTCAAGAGCTGTATCTATATATACACACTGTATTAGTAACACTGGAAAGAGTGTAGGAGAAAAGCCACAAAATACAAAAGTAAGATTCTTTTTTTCCCTCCTTTTGCTTTCTTCCCCCTCACTACCTTTTTTTTGTTGTTGTTGTTGTTTTTAGATAATCTAGGGGAAAAAAAAGCAAAAAAGAAAAAGGGTATCACTCAAAGATCCCTGTACTTCCTAGGAACACTTATTCTGTGGGATAAAGGAAGACTCATAATCTGCCAGCATTTCAAAACCAGCTGATACAGTTCAGTAGCACAGCAACATCCGTGTTTGCAGCTCTACAGCAATGATTCCTCTCAAGTACAGCAAGAATTTGGTATGAACCAAATTCCTCAACATGGGGAAAAAAAAGTCATCCACAACACAAACTGGCTGAGGGCGAGGGGGAATCATCAGAACATCTAGATAGGCAAGGGATACATCAAGCGAGTCAAGCAAGCCATTGTTCCCCATCTCAGGCTGCAGCAGCACCCCTTACACAGGTCTCTCATACTCTCAGGCTCTGAGGCTGATAGCAGTCCTCCTCACCAGTGTTTAAGCATTTCAACACTTGTCTCCCTTTTTGGAGATCAACAGAAGTGACACATAAAACCTAACAGAAAAAAACATGACGACTCACAACTTCCATGCACGGAATGGCTTGAGTCTTTGAACAAACAAAGACCTAAGAGAGCCCATGTACAGTAGGGTAAGACAGCATATATGCTTACAACATTTCCAAGAGTGAGACAATCACAATGGCTACATAAGGATATTTGCTGTATTAATTTGCAATACCCGAAAAAAGCCCTGCTGAGTTTGCGCTGTATTTACACATTGATTGGCTTCTTCCTTGCAAGCAAGTAGTGGCATCCCTTCTCACCTCGGTCCTTCCCTCCCCCCGGTCCTTCCCTCCCCTCAGTCCTTCCCTGGGTTTAAGCTACTCAGTCAGAACAAGAACATTCAGTCTAAGAAAAATTTCTTAGAGCAGTATAATTTCTTAAAGAAGATAGCATATTTACACACATCTAACACATGAAAATACTCTATTTTATACTAAATTTCTGTTTCAAATAAACTACAATACTGCATCTTAGCTTTCTGCAGCTTTAGAGGACAGTCCCCATCAGGCACAAACTGGGCTTCCCACTCCCATTTCAACTGGCAGCTTTGCCTTACAGTGGTGCACTACCATCGTGTTCAAGTCCTGACAGGTCTCCAATTGTGGTTTGCTTGCTTGGGAAAGGAATAATGAAGTTCTCAGCAAAGCCATGCTAAACATCCACTCCTTTAATGAGAGATCCTTCTAGGATGATATTGAAATCTTGCAATGTCTGTAGGACTCGAATAAGGGAGTTGACAGTCATGCGGTCCCGTAGGAGAGCATTCTCCTCATACATCCTTGTAATGGGCGGACACTCTGCCAGCAATGGGATCCACTGAGACAGCAAGTGGTCCCTGCAAAGAGGATGAAGAGAATTTTTTTAGCACCAAGTAAACAGATCTCAAACAGAAATTCTCCAAGCACACAATTCAGAATATGCAGGCTTTTTTTGACGGTAATACATGTTGTTTCCACATAGAAGCTTCCTTTGTAATCATAACCCTTGATTTTGTTAATAAAACACAGGGAGCTGAACATACATATAGGAATACAAGTATACTGAATGAATATACATGTATATTAAATGAATAATGGATGAATATACATGTAGGAACACATGTATACTTGTATAGCTGAGCATACTGTAGGAATGAAGATAGAAGAATATCAGCAGAACTGGATAGTTGATTTTGGAAGAATTCAGCAACATTGTCAGATCGGGAAGTGAGAAAATAAAGCTCATGCAAAACCAATAGACTGTTTTCCAACTGATTTTCCACATACCCAGACAGACAGGACAAAAATGGTACTTATTTCTAGACATACCAACTTCCACCATCCAAAATATAACCAAGCCCCACCTCCCTCCCCAAGTGCAAGACAGAAAGCAAGGAAAGACTGAACTAGAATAGTTTCGTCAAAATTGTAACAGACATCCCATTTTCATAGGCAAAGTGATTTAATGAGGCTTTAGAAATGCACCAGCTCTTGCAAGGGAACTTTGCATTCACATAGCCATCACTTCATCAAAAATACAGTTTCAAGACAGACTTCATACCTATGACTGTCAAGCTAACAGAGCTCAAAACATTTTTAGCAGTTTAGACATTCCAATTTTTCACGTAGTACTAAAGCAGCTTTAATAGCTACTGGGTAATAGATGGGTATGAGATGTCTTAAAATGGAAAACTAAAGGTAATAACAATGGTGCAAAAATATTCTTGTAGTCTAATGCAAGAGGACACATATCTCAAAGAGCAATTAGGTACCTTGTCCCCAGGCAAACCAGAATCTGGAATTTGCCATCCTTTCCAATGTTTCTGGGAGCAGTATTGATGGCATTCACATAATGACAGAAGGTTTTGCATGAAGATCTCTGAAGCAAAAGGGCCTCCTCATTATCTCCAATCTGGTCACTGGTTTCAAAATAAGCAACAGCTTTCTCTGTGATAGGGAGAAAATCAGAACCCAGTGAGATGTAACTTCATTGAGACATAGAATTACACAAGGGAATCCTTAGAAGAACAACTTGTTGAGAGCTAGTACACAGTTTATATACAGATTCCTCACTCTCAAGAATATAGGTAGGTGGTGATCTCCACCTTTGCTACATAGCAGCAGTCAGCGAACTGGTTGATGTCTAATACAGTTAGGTAACATCAGTGAGTTGCACCAGAGTACCTGTCAGTGGTTTCGTTCTGAATGATACCATCAGCTTTGATTTTTCATCTTTTCTGAGTAAGCACTTACCCTCAGGCTAAGTATCTCAACTTGTATGTTTTAAGGGAGTAAGTACATCTTAAATTACCACAATGTAGGCATACAGATAAGCATCACAGAAGACCAATGTAGTGATTAGGAGAGTTCTCACAAACAACTACAAATATAAACCTTTGCCTCCCTGCCCTTTCCTATGTCTTCCCCTAACACCAATTGCTACTCTACCCCAACCTCCAGCTGCCCTTCTTTCTGGGCAGAAAATCCCCTGTTTGAACATTCAGTTATGAATAAATGACTAGAATTTGAAGTGCTCTTAAAGTTCTGCCCAGATTCACATTCATCCCTTATACAGAGCTTAGTATTTCTCATCTTCTATCTTGTTTCTCATTGACTTCAAGCAACCTGGAACAGGTGCCAGGCAGGAACAAATGGCACCTTAGCTCATGAGAACCCAAGATCTGTATGTGAGTAGTCATTTTGCACTTATCTTTCTTCTTCTGCCTCCAAATCACATACCACCTTACCTATGAAATCCCAGATGAAGACATTCTTATGAAAAATGCGAGCAGATTTGAATCCATGGTGAAAGACCTGCTCCAGTGCTGCAACCAGGCCATTCTCTCCACACAGCAGAATGGTAAGGCTCCCTCTCTGTGAGGATGGGAGAGTCTGTGAGTACAACTTGTCTTGTTTGCATGCCAGAACCTTCAAATTTAAAGGTTAATAGTCTCTACTAGTACTTCAGTTCCATTTCTCATTATAAAAATATTTACATGGATTGTAGGTTCCAGGCAAGTAATGAAAAATAGGAAGTACCTCTTTCTCTGGCTTGTGAAAGTGCTTCACAATATTGTTCACAGCTTCCCCAATTCCCTCTTGGATCTGTCCCGCATTAGGTTCTGTGAAATGATGGAGAGCATACTAGCTGAAGATACCAACTTTAAAACATTCATCAAACTCTCATGATGACATAGCTTGAACTGCAGGAATTATTCTGTGTCTTTAACAGAGTTCAGGCAATCATTTGTCTTGTGTAATCCTGAGCCTTATTACAAGCAACTGATGAGCAACCCTGGAATGGTCAAATAAATTGCCTTACTTAAAAATGCACAACCCAAGGATCTGGCTTGATAAATATTTTGTTTGAGTTAATCAATTCTTTCTCATTACATAGAGTACAGCAACCCTCACATGAGGAGATGTGGGCTGAAAGGCTGTAGCCCAGTCATTTGGCTCACTTCTACATGACAGAGGTCAGAAAACCCAGCACTCATTAATTCCTGACTGGAACCCACAATGTTTTATTGAGCCCCAAAAAGTATCTGGACACATCTCTGGTTGTTGTACCAGTGTGAGGGGCCACAGGGAGAGAATATTCCTTATTAATAGTGCCAAGAATAAGTTATCTTCTGTGTTAAAATGTATGCCATATTCCTACCCTGAATCTGTTTAGCTGTATGCTTCTACTATTGAATCATGCTATGCTTCCACCTGCAACCATCTCATCTTCCTGTGCTGAAAATTACCTACCTGCAGAAAATTATCCAGTCCCTCATTCACTTTCTTATTAGAACAGACTGAACTTTTAAACTTCATTTTAAGCAGATGTTTGCCAGATTTTCATGGTCCTTCTAAGAGTCCCTTCTTATTTTCCAGACATATGTAGGTTGCTATTAGCTTGCCTTACAATTGTTATTCTGGAAGCATGGAGTATTTCAGCATCATTTTAGTACATCAGGACCTCCACATTCTTTGGCAGGTCTAATACAGAGCCTCATTTAGCTTTCAAGACAAATGAATTACTGGGTCTCAGTGTTCTCAGACCTAAGGAAATGCTCTGGTGCCCAATTCTCTAGCTAATATGGACTCATGTGAAAAGCTGCAGTGGCCCTGTGGTGGCTTCTAGATTCTGCATTGCTCTTGAAGGCTACTCTTTCCTAGCCTGACTTTTCAGCAGTCATGTCCTCTAGGTTTACAGGAGCTGGACAGATTTATGAACAGGATCTATGCTGTGCTCATCAGTTCGCTTTACTGGAGAATGCCTCACATGGCCCTTATAGTCCCATGCCCTGCAGTAGGGAGCAGCAGTCACTCATAAAAGCTAATTTTAGGAATGCAAAATTGATGTCCCCCAGGGTCCCCCTAAAGATGTGCTCCTCTAGAAGGCAGTTCACAGTATCCATATCAAATTCTGACCTGCCCTTGAGAGAGGACTGTCTTCCCACTGACTGCAAAGTGAGCTGGGAAGCTGAGCAGCATCAGCTACTGCAAATTCTGCTGCCTCCTCCTCCCTCATCTCACATCTCCGTGCTCCAAGGAAAGAGATTATTATCTCTCAACTGTCAAATGGGGAACACTGAAAAAGGCAGCGTGTGCAGCCACAGAACAAGCTGCAGACTCACAAACTGGGGCAGGAAAAACTCATCAGCTTGCAGCTATTCCTCTGCACCAAGCCTCTTTTTAATAGGAGCAACCCTGTTCACAACAGCTTTATTTCTCAGCCATTGTTACCCCCTTGTCTAGGCACAAGGGAGAAAAGAAAGGACTCACTGTTGTTCTTCCCTGTGAGGGAAGTGATGCTAAGCCGTCGAGCTGTGGTAGGAGATTTCTGCTGTGGTGGGGTACGGCACTGCTTTCCCAGCTCTTCATCAGATGTGGAGGACACCAGCTCTCCAATGAGTATTCGCTCCAGGCTGCCATCATCAACACCTTTCCCCAGCCATCTCCCACAGGGAAACCTGCCACACACACCCAAGACAAGGACAGGTCAGCCATGCAAGCACTCTAGCTTCATCCAAAGCTAGAGGCACAGCTAGCACCCAATGAACACTGCTAACAGGCAGGAAATATGTTGTACTTTTCACAAACCAGAGCTCAACAGGCAGCATTCCCTGCAGAGCCAATCATCCTTAGGAAAAGGGAAATATGCAAAGCGTGCGTGAAAGCCCAGCACAACAAAGTGTTACACGTATATTTTATGGTCCACATCTTGATTTCTGCCAGGTTCTTTTTGACTTGAAACCAGAACTGATATTCTGCCTTTAAAAATACTGTCATGATTAACAACTAAATTCCCTCACAGAGTTCCCACCCAGTTGAAGCTGTGACATCTCCTCATACTCAAATCTCATACAGCACATTCTACTGCTGTATGTTTTGACCCAATCCACATTCCTAATGAAAGCCATGAACATGTCCATACCCCCAGTCCTTGTACCCAGTTTCCTTGTACTTTCCCCCTGTGGCCAACCCTGAGCTCATCTTTCTTAATCATAGTTTTCCAAATCTACATTTAGATAAAAAACCTAAGTCTGCTTAGCCAGATGCTTTGTAACACCAGTGGTGCATTAGGAGATCATTTCAATCAATACAAGAGGTATGAACTCAACAGAAGATTAAGAAATCATCAAACCCTTTTATTTTCTTGCAATCTGATTTTCTGTACATCTGTACAGTACTTAGACATTTGAATATCTTTAAAATGAAAAAGACATAAAAGAATTGCCCTGAACTATAAATCCAGCTCTTGGGGGTTTAAAGAGTTCATCTGTGCACAATTTACCACACTACTTTAAATCGAGAGATTTAATTATTAGACACAAGCATATGAATCACTTCAACAGTATCCATACTGTCTGTCCTGTCTCAGAAAGATGCAAAGAAAATCAAATCCTACATTCATGTCTCAGTCAGATTATTTGACTTCGACTAGGGTTTCTGAAATGAGAGAACTGGGGTAGGGGAGACCAGCCCAACCTTACCAGGTACCCAAATCAGCCCACAGTGCTCCGTCAACCGACGAAAAACCTCCTTGCTTTCTCTAGATTTAACAAGTAAGAATTTCAGACAAAGAAAATTAAAACTTGATGCTTACTTGTACGTGTGTCCTGTTATTTCATTTCTGACCATGACACAATCAACCAGCCACTTGGCCAGTAGCCCTGAGTTGTCATGACCAATCTGAACGGTCGTCAGCTTCCCTAAGTTCTGGCACTGAAATGAATAACAGTTTTCACTTAATTTAAAAAACAACAGACCACATCCCCACCACCACCACATGCACACATATGGTCTCAAATTTATGTTTTTATTCAGTTTCCTTTGATCTATACAGCGAGTATTTTCAACCAAACATGCAAAGCATTTTGAAAAGCAGAATAATTAAAGCAGGAGAAAAGAAATAACCTGAAATAAAAGCATTAAAAGCTTGTGAAGAAGTTACATTCTTTGTTGTGAACACTCACTGACTATTTCTGAGTATTAATTACACATTTCTGAGCTAAGGTGACAAAAAGGCGTGCTTTTGTGCAAGAAATAGATATTTACTATAAACAGCTTTTCAAAAGTTCATTTGGAGCATCCTAACCTTCACTTGACTCACTCTACACTATGAAGCAGTCCCTAGATCCTCTATTATTTTCAAAGATTGATTTGATTATTGTTGGACAAGATGAAAATCACTAACATGAGACTCTTATCGTAAAGATACAGAACAAGGAAAACAAGGGACTGTGAATTCCAGTGCAAGATGTAATTGTACCTGTGGCTGGCAGCGACATCTATTAACATAACCTAAACATTTCCCTTTCAAGACCTTGGTTTTCGTTGCTTCTAACACTGCCAAACAAGCAGCTTGGGCTGGCATTTTCCATAGTGGGTGGCTGTTCAAGTTGATATTTTAGGAAAACTTCAGCCAAAGGAATAATCCAGAATAGTCTTGGTATGGTCCTTAGAAATGTCTAAATGTCATTTTGCTTGGTACAAGCCTGAGGATCTTTTCTATGAAATACTGGTATCTGAGAGGCAGCTATTGTATCAGGAAAATATCCTCTCCCTGTCAAAATCTACCTCTATTTGGCAAGAGGTTTTCTTTTTACTATTGTTGAAGAACAGTCTGCATATGCTCAATGGACACAACCTTAATTTTAGTAGCAAATTTTCTTAAAAAAAGTCAATCCTTACTGGATATCGTACAGCCTGGAGCTGCAGGAGCCTGACAGGGCTTTCCCTGCAATTCCCAGTACCAGCTGCTTTGGGTGGCACTAAGCCAACCTGTAATTGATGGGTGGGAAAGCAGAAGGGAATGCTGGATAGTTAAATGCAGAGAAAACCACAGCAAGCATGGAGAAGCCCATGGTGATGGTGGGTAGGTCTGTGGCTTGAGGGGGTAGCACCTGAGGCCAGGAAGTTGAAAAACTCAGGGGTTAAATGAGCTGGTTGGAAGGAAAGCAGCAATGCTGGATAAGGAGGAAAAGAAATTTGGGACTCATCAGAGGTAGAAAGGGACCTGGGTGATGCTTAACTGGGAAGACGCATTGAAAGAGGGTAAAAGCAGCTTGCGAGGGAAAGGCGGAGTCAGAAATGAATGCTGAAAGGGAAAACTGGGCAAGGAAATGTGGAAGGGAATGAGATATAGAAATATATTGGCTAGGTGAGAAGAGGAGGCCTGGGCTGGGGCAAGGAGAGCAGTGAAGCCTGTAGTTAAAAGTGTATGCTCGACTTTCATCTAGCAGAGGAGGGGCAGGCAGTGCTGTTAGCCTGTACGTACCTGTATGTACAGCAACCCTGAAAACCTGGACAGCATCTGAAATGCTGTGATCTTAAGAAAATAAACTCTCAGCAAATCAACACTTATTTGGAAGCATGTTTTAAATCAAAAAGTAAAATGCAAAGAGTGAGCACTCACCTCAAATGTCATTTCTAGGTGGTTTTTAGGAATCTGCATTACACCTGTATCTCCTAGTTCCCCTGATACACATATCCATGGATTTGACGTGGTTATTGCATTGCTCAGTTTTTTGATGGGAATTATCACTGACCTGTAAGGGATCACTAAGAACAGAATGGGGGAAATAAGTTATCCTTGAACTTTTTCCCTCCTGCAGTAAACACGATTTCTGGAGTAAACCACATCTCTTGCAAAATCATGGAACAGTTTGGGTTGGAAGGGACCTTAAGATCATCTAGTTGCAAACCCCCTGCCCTGGGCAGGGACACCTTCCAGTAGACCATGTCACCCAAGGTCCCACCCAACCTGGCCTTGAACGCTGCCAAGAATGGAGCATTCATCACTTCTCCGGGCAACCCATTCCAGTGCCTCACCACCCTCACAGTAAAGAACTTCCTTATATCTAACCTGAACTTCCTCTGTTTAAGTCTGAACCCATTATCCCTTGTTCTATCACTACAGTCTCTAATGAAGAGTCCTTGTAGTTCAGATGCTGGAAGGCTGCTCTGAGGTCTCCATGCAGCTTTCTCTTCTCCAGCCTCTCCCTTGAAGGTTAAAGTCTTGTCCTATGCCTCAGCAGCCTGTCGAGGAGCACTCCTCCCACAGGGGCCGAGCTAAGCACGCAGAGTGCGTCTCACCGAGGGTCACAGCAGCAGCCGCAGTACAGTCGGAGCAGCGGCTCTGCAGCCCGGCTCTTGGGGAGCTCCCACCGGCATCGTTACCGCGGACAGCCCCAGCGAGGGGCCTGGTGCCGCCGCACGGTGGAGCTGCAGCCTCGCAGCAGAACCGGCCTCCCTCTGCGGAGAGTCTGGCCGGTGCAAGGAGCGACCGGCCGCAGGCTGAAGGGCTAACGCGTAAACCCGGCTGCGGCGGGGCCCGGCGGGCGAAGGGAAAGGTTATGGGGGGAAGAGGAACGTCAGAGATGCCGGCATGGCTGGCAACCGCACAGCTGAAGCCTCCAGCCTTATCTGTCTCCGTGGACATCCACCCATTCAAAAACATCATCACCACTGTTGTAATACGTACATGTGTATGGCTGCCTCATCCCTGGCAGTGTTCAAAGCCAGGCTGGATGGGGCTTTGAGCGACCTGGTCTAGTGGAAGGTGTCCCTGCCCATGGCAGGGGGGGTTGGAACTGGATGAGCTTTAAGATCCCTTCCAACTCAAACCATTCTGTGACTATGATTTTGTTAACTCTATGATTTTATGCTGCTGCTTCTTGTTATTATAAAAAAAAAATAATTTGCTTTTAAATCTGCACGACCCATAACATTCTCAAGACAGGGCCAAGCCACCCCTCTGGATTCAGATTTGACTCAAATAGTGCACATTAGCACTGCAAGGCTCACCCTCCATATGTTTCACAAGCTGCCTTTCTGACTGGGGAAGATAAGGCAGGCTTTTCACTTTTTTGTGCATGCCATATAATGATATTGCACTCAAAAAAACACCCTCAAATTCCAGGTGCTGATCCTACAGGGGAAAGCTGTCAAGCTGGATGCCCCACAGAAGTAAGGTAATCAAGGATGAGTGAATCTCTTTGCACTGTGCTAGTTCTGAGGGGATTTATTGCTTTAAGGGGAGAAAAAGTAGAATGAGTGACTGTTTTGACAGCCACCTAAAACTTGCTTCACTTCATTCTGAGCAGGCAGCGAAATGAAGAGTACGGGCTGCCAAGTCAGTCCAAATAATTAGGTCATTTGATGGGGTCCCTGCCTTCTCTGCAGTGCCCAGTGCTAGAGAGACAAAGATTCATTCTCAGACTTCAATCCAATCTCTGCTCTCCTTACAAGACAGGAAGGGAGAGGGAATCTTTTTGGCATTTGAAGAGAGACAAAAAGAGATTTAAAATATACATCAGAGCACAAAGTGCCTTGTATTTCATCCTCCAAGACTTCCACCTCCTCAGTCTGCAGAGGCCAGAAAGAAGCATTAGGATGTACTTGTCTGGGAGGGAAGATCAAGGAGCCTATACAATTGGGTGAGGAAAATCAAGCCCTACATGGGCACTCTATGCTGATTGCTCTCCTCTGTGTAATGCTTTTCTCCACAGCACTCCCACATGACCTTGGCTCTCCAGCTGGTTTCCCAGAGCAACACCCAGCACCCATGAGCCCAGCAGCAACAACCAAGGTTTCCAGATAAGAGCTTGTCAGCTCAGGTCCCAGCACCAGCACCATCATCCCTTACAAATCATGGCAGCAAATAATTTTTATTCAGGGGGGAAAAATTTGATTCTCCAACTCACTGATTGTGGTGAAGACGCTTGTGAAGCAGAAGTAATCCACAGCATTGAGTGAGAGCAGGTGATACAAGAACTGTTCCCGTTCTTCCTCACAGCGCAGGAAAGCGTAACGCTTATAAAGCTTCCTGGTAGAAACAAATGAAGAGTTGATCTTAATGGGAGGTATGAAAAGTGAGATTCTCCAGCTAACACAGGCTGCTGGAAATCCATCAGGAGCATTTGCTACACATCTGTTTTACAGATCACTCTTGGCTCCATGCTACCACAGCAAGGCTAGAGGGGTCATCTCATTAAAGGATCAGGTTTTGATGCAAAGCACAGAGGTAAACTAACACTACCCACCACAGCAGACCTGAACCAGCATACAGCAACCTCCTTTCTTCCCTGTATCTTCCCACTGTGGAATAGCCTTGTCTAATAACCTAATCTTCCTCCTGCTCAATCCTGTTGCAACACAGAAAACTAAGCAAAAGGCACCAAACCAGGGAAGGCACTGAGGAGCAGCAGCAGTGCTCCCAACACTCTTTCAGTTCAGTGAACCTAGTGTACACCACCAACAAAGCAGTGCAAAGACACACCAGGAGATAACCTGGCCCTGCTCCAAGAAAGCACAGAGCTTGTGACACTGCCTGCAGTGTGAAGGCATCAGACTCCCAAAAATCTGCTGAGGTAGATAGATGTAGATGAAACTTCAGGAAAAGACAGGCGTGCCACTGTGACTTTAAATGGATAACCCAAGAGGTGATTGTCTCTACCTACTCCTCTTTCTTCCCATTTGGTAGCTTTTGGCATAAATCATGCCATGTAACTCATCACAGTGCCAGAACTGCATGTAGTTGTTAGGATGTTTTCTTTTTATACAGTTTTGGTTGGTTGGTTAGTTTCTTCTAAATGCATTGCTTTGAGAAAACAAATTCAAGGAATATCTACACGGGCAGTGCCTGTGCTTGAAAGAGGATGCAGAGCTGGGGCAGCTGCTGAGTGGCTGGGAGAGCTGGCCTCTAATCCACCTCATGGCTGTCAGGATGGGGGTGAGGCAACCTAACACAGGGCTGCTGTGAGAAAAGGGGCATTCCTGTGCCTGCTGCTTCATTTGCACAAGATACAGTGACTGTAGGGTGGCAAAATGGCTTGGGTCAAAACCCTGATCTGACCAGCACCTAATACCTCCTTCCTGAAAATTATGATGTTTTCCATGCAGGTAAGCAGATTTCTGCCCTACTGGATGGGCAGAACCTTCTCCCCCAGCTAACCTCTGCCTTTAAATCACTTCTAGCTGGAATCCACGTTATCCAAACACGGTGCCTGGCTGCAACCCAAACCTGCACAGCACCTTGACACACCACTGAGGGAAGACCTGAAAGCGAAGCTTGAAGAAAAGAGCCAGCTTACTTGGCAAGAGCCTGGTTGGAAAGCAGCTGCTTCAGGTGCTGAGACAAAAGCTTCTTCTCCAGAGAAAGCCTTATCCAGGCTCGGGCTCGTCCCACATCAGTTTTTATTTCACTCATGTTCTGAACATGCCTGAAACAGGTGGGAAAGAAATAATAATAACAGATGAATCATAAAAATTCTACATGCTTTAAATGGCAACATCCAGTGTGATGCAGCAACTGAACTGGAAAACAAACACTCAGCAGGGCACTGGGGACATGGGCAGCCCTTCCCAGGCACAGCAGGGTACAACCTGGGCACACTACAGCCCATATCAGCTGCTCTGTGTCCTGGTGTTTGCTTGGCCAAGGTGAGCAGGGGTAGATTTGCTCATCCTTGCATTGCCTGAGGTAGAAGTCCTCATGGACAGTGCTAACACTTTAAATAAGCAGCTACCTTGTGAGACCCAGTTATATTGTCACAGCTGCTCCCCAAGCTGCCAACACAAATGGGTATGTTTGGGAGGGCAAAAGAGAAATACATAGCTTAAGAGTTTCTTCAAACCACAATTTACCCTGAAGGCTCTAACAAACCCCTTGATGGCAGCTGCAATGGGAAACCTGAGAAAAAGAGTACTGGGGTAAACCGAGTGACAGGCACTCACAAGCAGTATCACATTTTCTGGGATATGAGGTCCTTGTGTGACAATCTGACTAGCCCTCCTCATGCTTGGTCTGTGGGAAAGCAGAACTATTCCATAGGGGCTTTCTTCTATGATTTTGTTTTTCTTTTATTAGCCTTCCCTTATTTCAGCTTGGAGAATGCCAGAAACCCAATTTTAGAGCACAGGGAGCTTTAGAAGAGGAAGAGAACTGCCATGGCAGGGCAAAGTTACTTGCAAAACCCCCCAACCTGGTTAAATAAACAGCAAAACAAGAGTAACATTTCCCAGTAGAGGAAAGAAAAGGCTGCAATTTCTTAATTTTCACGCAATTTACATGTTAAGTGCACAGGCAGTTCAGCCCTCCAAACCTTTGTGGCAGGCTCCAAGTACCACTAGCTGAGCCTTAACTATCTCTGTTGTAGCTTACTTTCCAACTCCTGCATCTTCCTTGAAGGCTCTCCATGCATTGCTGAGTGTTAGGGAATGTGGCAGTATTTACTCCAAAGAAAATCCATCAAAGTCATGCTGTGACTGATGCTTTTTACGTCACTAGCATAGTCTCACTGTCTCATGTTTTCCCCCATCTGTTACACCAACCACGTGCTTTGCGTTATATTTGGACCCTGTATTATTTGAGAAAAACACTCTCTTGTTTATAGAGATTCTTTACCATAGCACGACCAGGACCTTGAGGGCAAATTTGCAAACTGAAACTTAGTGTTGTCCAGATAATAAGAGCTCACTGTGCACAAATGAAGTGGATACACCAGGTATAGCTCAGCAACACTGTTCTCTACAGGCTGACCTAAACTGAATCCTCAAAATGCAGGTCTACCCTTGCAATCCAAGCTGAGGTGTCTCTGTCATACAGCTTGGTGCTTTATGTACATATCAGAAGAACCATCAGGAAGGAACAATCAATAAGAGTAACGGTGGATTGCCATTGGCAAAACCTAGGTTACTTAAAACTCGTCTTAAAAAAAAGAAAGGAAAAAACTTTTCTGTTTCCTAACATGACACACAGATAGATCTTTGATGGACCAGGTGAGAAGTACTGACTTTTTCTGACCTGTAAAACAAATGCAGGAGGGTACATTACACTCATGTATTAGTCCTTGCCCTTTATAAGCAAGCTTGGCAGCCTCCCTCTGTCAGCCGCAATGCCTGTGAGCTGAATCACTGCCAAGAGCCTTGCTCCTGGCTCTGGAAAGCCCTTCCTGGCTCAGAGCTTCGCAGCTAGCACTTGACCTTCCGGCCCAGACAGCTGGGCACGTGAGTCCTTGAGAAACGGGATGCGCACTACACTCAACTACATCCATTGAGACACTCACTCAGACATTTCAAGTCTTTTGAGATGGGAAGATCAAAGCACAGACTACCATTTCCCTCCCACACCTTCCCTCCCAGCGCTCCACTTGAATTACATCTAAGATGAAACACTGAGTAGAATATCTTATTTTGCTGTGAGAAGATTCAAGTACAGATGGACTCAACCTCATTCCATGCATGTTCTGTACCTCTTCATTACCCGTATGTGGTTCAGACCAGATTGGCAATAACCGTGCATTTGGGAAAAATAAGGCTCTGCAACCATGCAGATTGACAGAGACATAAAAAAGATTCAGTTATCAGTCTTGGTGTCAGCAAAGCAGAGTTTAACAGAACAGAGCATTTGGGAACTCAAATTTATTTCACCCTCAGTTGTGAGAGTCAGAACAGCTCTATTTTTATCAGTGACCTAAGCATTAGCACTGTTTGCTCACCACTGCACAGCAAACTCTTCTTGTCAGGGTACTGAACAGCAATTTCCATGCAACTCCCTACGTTGGGACTTGCTTTTAATCCCATTAGCAATAAAGAAAAATCTATTTACCCTGTCAAATGTAAGCCTGAGGAACGGTGAGACATACCCTCTGCAAATAGCTGTGCTGACAGAAGAGGCTGCAGCTGCTCAATATCACCATGGCCCTGAGGATGGTGTGCATGCTCCCCATTGCAGTGCAGTCAGAAACAAGCTGCACTAGCTCATCCCTTGTAGGTAGCAGGTCCTTTCTAACTCAGCTTCTTTTAACTGCAGCAGGTTAAGCATGACTGCTGTGGGCCCAGCACCTGGGGCCCACATCCTCTCCTGCAAGCTCGACACAGGAGGGGAGGCACAACACAGGCATGAAGGCAAGCGCTGGCAGAAAGGAAGAGCTTGTCCCATGGGGAAGGCCCAGCTGGACCAAAGGTTTCAGGGAGTTGCATTGGCCCTGACCTGTCTAGCTGAACGCTCAGCAATGTACCTGATGGGTGAGGCCATGCTGGAGGCAGGCTGCAGTAAGAGCCTGCAGGGGTGGGAGAGATGCTGCAGATCCTCATCCAGGGAAAAGGCTGAAGGCCATACCCCCAAACACTCTTGTGCAGAGACTCTCCATGCAGAGAACCAAAATAAACATCATGAGCATCTTCCTTACCACATCTAAGATGCCTGGCTTTGCGAGGGGGCAGAGGACACAGGAGGTTGCCTGCAGCACAGGCTCATTGCACATTCAGAGAGTGACTCCTTTTGTTGTTTACATAACCTTGCATCAGCCATCAAAGTTTTCCTGGAGTTTTCTCCGAATCAAAACCAAGCTGTGCTTAAGGCAATGCTTAATCCTCTAGCCGTTAGTTCAGTTAGCGCAGCAACTCTGGCAATTTAATAGTTACCCATTCTTTTATCTTCAGCATGAATCTGTGCGTGCAAACAAATACTAAGCAACAGTCATTCCAAGCAGAAGAAAGTATGCCACGAGATTATAGATGGCAAATTCAACTCACCATCTGCCCAGCATTTTCTATGACCAGACATGTTTGTAGACAATCATGAATAACCAAGGTATTGTAAAAGGTAATGTTCTGCTTCTGTGAAAAGCAGAACAGAAACTCTTCACAGAAGCAGAACAGAGTTTCCCTGAAAAAGCAGGAGAAATATTATTTCAATTTAAGCAAGAGAGCTCAGATCTGTGCTGGGTTTTCATTCTTAAGTGGAAGTACATGGAAGACAAAACCCATGCACACAACAGCAAGCACACATGGGCTTCTGTCAGGAATCCCTGTCCAGCACATCAGTTTCCGCTCCAGATCCTCCTTCATCCTTTCCTCAGCCTGACCCTCTACATGCCCATCAGCCTCAGAGGACTGAATCAAGTAAATAGCTGCCATGTCCCATGAGAGGGATGCTAAAATGATAGACACACATTCAAAATGACCTCTTGGCATTATGCTCTTAATTATACAATATATTCCTCCTCCCTCTTTCGCATGCAATTTTAGCCTTATGTGGCCTGTCATATTCTTCAGAATCAAAGCACAAGACTCAGACTACATAATGTCAAACTAACAGGTTGCACACTGCAGGTGGGAAGTACAGTTACTTTCTTTCAGAAGTCTGACTAATCTGTGTGATATTACAGATACATAATTTTCTGATGTGACAAGACACAAAGCAAAGATCACATCACTGTAACCATGGCTTTGTGAATTAACTGCAACTAATCTTAGTTTTACCATAAGATTTTTTGCCCTATTTTACGTGGCGGAAGGACGCTGTATTACAAGAAACAATACTCATGTTGTCTCACAGATTGCATTTGCTAGCAGCTTTTTACAGATGAGCATTATTGCATCACTCCTCCCCACTTTCCATGGCACTTTTACCTCACTGCCATCCCTAACCATGACAAGTGAAGTGTCCAGACAGTGGCCTGACCTGGCAGCAGCTTTATCAAGGAGATGCCCTGAGGAACTTCTGCCTGGTACTATCACATGGGCCTCCACCATTTTTCGCTCCTTACTCTTATTGGCTCCCAACCCATACTGCTTGTGTGTTTTTCATTGTTTTTTTACTAAAATAAATCAAGTGCACATGCAAAAAAGTTTTGCAAAATGAGAAGGCAACACTATAGATATTAATGCAGGCTGAGGAGAAGGTTTAGTTCTCTAGCTTTTGTAGACCCAAAGCCAGTAAGAACCTTTACCTTATGCTACACAATTAAAACCACAATTAATGCTTTAGGAAACAAAGTGCGTACCTCATATCTTGTATCAGGGAAACCCTCAAAGTAGGCAGAGTAATTCCTGTATCAGACTTCCGTCTTTCTGTTCCAACAGCAACTGCGGTGGAGAAAATACATGACGTTAACATAAAATTACAGTAATGGTCTGCAATGCATTAGTTTTACAAAACAACCTTAAGTGGTTGGTAACTGCAGTCTTTCTGTGTATTATCATTAACGCTATCCTGGAAATGTAGAAATAGACAAAATGAAAAATGCTTAGTATATTCCTTCCTTAATCCAGCACTGGAGTTGCAGATTTAGCTTCCTCTTGTGTATGTGAAATACATTAATATAAATCTGCATGGCAATCAGTTTTATTAGCAATATGCTTTTATGGAAAGCTCACAACTGAGAAGGACGTGATGGAATAAAGCTACAGTAGCATATTTGATGCTAAGAATGCCACGCATTTCTGTGCTCCACTACTGTGATCAAACTGCTTTGTGGTAACACATTTTGCGCTCAGGAATTTGCGCCTGCCAGCCAGATTGCTCAGTGCATTAGTCACTGAAGCTTATTAGAAAGTCTTTTCATGAGTGAGACTAGTTTGTCCATAGATGTGTCTTTGAGGACCGATCATACAAGTTCCCATCTGCAGGACTGGGACAACTGGGGAATCCTTGGAAAAAGACCCACTAAAGCTCAGAGACTTTTATTATAATATCCATCAGCAACCACTGGGCAGGGAGGTGTCAAGAACATCAGAAAACCAACCTCTGTCACAACACGTAAGTGATTTAGTGACTGCAAAGGGCCAAGACCTAAACTGAGCACCTAGACTGACGGTCAGAGATTAATTACACAACTTCTGAACTGTACCATCCACCAGTCTAAGGATTTGTTAAACATGGAGTTATTCACATTGGGATTTGAAACAGATTTTGCTCGCTGGAAGAAAAATGTCAGCTGTCTTAGACACAGCTCCACACCCTCAGCTTCTTTAGAAATCATCTCCTGTGGAAGCACTGCTTCTCATACCTCACTCAGTGCTGATTACAAGGGAATTCAGGTAGTGAACAGATATCAAGTGATTTTCAAGACAGGGATAATAGGTAGTTTCTTTACCTCCAATGTCAACCTATTTTGTTCAGACATCACGGCATCTTCACAATGATTATGAAAGGTCTCAAAACGTAAATGTGGTATTAGCAAGCTAATACACTGAAAATCCAGCATGGGTTTCATGTGGTTGCACAGTTCCTTCAAGACCCAAGTTCATTTGCTGTGATGGACCCTTCATGGAGTCAACTGCCGAGTACTCACCTGGAGACTCTGCACTATGCTCTTGCTTCTCTTCTCTCTCCTGGTACTGAAGTAAATGGGACCACAAAGCAGATTTTCCCTGCAAATTGAATATGTAGTACATAGCTTTAAATAGATCAGGCAAAAGAAAACAGGCCAGTGAACATGGCAAAATAACGGGATGGTATTTCAGTAAGTAAAAAGTTCCATAATGGCAACCAACCCTTCTCTCTTGGACCGTGAAACCTCAGGAAAAGTACAGGACCATCCCACTGCCCTAGCAGTCATACCTCCCACTTCGTTTCTTTGTCCTGTCCCTGGGTTTCTTATGCGAAGGTTGAAAGAGAAGAAACCAAACACCTACTTGACATCATTACTGCTATTTCCATAGGTACTTGTCAAATTAAAAGAATAAAAAATAAAGCAACCTCCCCCAAACAAAACCCCAAACCCTTACAAGATACGAAGCAGGGACCGTGAACCTAAAGATTACTCTCACTTTATGCTGGAATGATACCACTGAGTAGCAGCTTAAAAGGTAGAGATGTTATTTAGTATTTGCTAGAGTACTGTACACACAAAGCCCTGAGTTTCCAGTTACCAACCTGCTTGACCTGCAGACCGTGGCTCCAGATTCTTTCTAGCAAATCACAGAGACTAGCAATCAACGTATTTTCCTCCAGACCTGTTATGTTGGCTTCTCCATGTCCCAGCTCAACTGCTTCATGGCCCATCTTCTCTACCAACATACGTTTAGTCTGTAAAATAAGGAAAGAAAAAAAAATCTCAAAAGGTTTCTAAAATTATTATCCAAAAAGGGAAAGAACTTATAGATTATTTTACTTAAACATGCTTAATCTAGAGACCACCGCTAATGGCCTGACCAGAGAAACTTTAAATCTCTTTACAGAGGTAGTAAGTCAAAAAGAATTATAAACAAAATAATTGCATGATTACTCCATGCAGTCCTATTTCTATACCCTTTATTTATTGCCCTATACCCCCACTGCTGATCTATAATAGACCACTATCAAAACCAGAATATAGACTAGATACATTTTCAGCCTTACTCAATACTTGGTTACAGCTATTAGAGTTTCAACTGCAACTGACACAGAGACACAAAAAAGTCGTATTTCCATGGCTACACAAGTTTCTTTAACATTAGAAACTGCTGTAGTTAATTTGCTCTGCATAAACAACATGCACAACAGTTGCACATGCTGAATGCTTCCCTTTTGACTTAGGGTCTCAAGCCCTATGTTTAGGTTAAATGGAAATATGAACAATCAAAGGAAATTCTCCCTAAGACGTCTGATAATGCTGATTCTCCTTCTTGTTCTTTTTACTGTTTCCACCAACTTAGACTGCATAAAAAGAAGAGTGATAACATGTTCTTTTCTTCCCTAATAGTTGAAAGATACAACACTAAAGGGATATCCACCCTGCAGCGGGCTGGTATATCAACACACCAACGCCATTCCAGCTGTGAAGGACTCTGAGGATGCCGCTTGTGGATGCTATGTAGGCTTAGTGTGAGGGGAGAGTAGAGGAGGAAGACCTACCTTCACACGACATTCCTTCAGTAACCCTTCCACGAATTTCCAGTTGGTCTGTGCAATCACAGCTGGAGAGAGGTCTGAGAGTTTGGGCTGCCTTAAATTTTTTCCTAAACTCCTTGCCTCCTGCATGTATTTCTAAAAATAAACAGAACATTCAGGTATTACAAGTCAGAGGGACTCTCCTTGTCTTAATCCTAGGCAAGCAAATGCTGGTGAAAAGGAATGAGCTAGTGTTAGTCTAGGAATAAAATCATGATTTGCCTGATGTTTAGGTGTCAGGCTGGAGAAGTGGAATGCTCCCTTCTGACAACAGAAAAAGCAATTTTCCAGTCTGGTACTGAAACAGTCCATGTTAGCTAGTGAACTGTGCTGTTAGCCACTAGCACAAGGTTAGCCACAGCAAGTGCATAAAAGTGCAATACCTTCATTCAGCAATGAAATCTAAACACCAAGGTTTTCTTCACTTTTATTTAATTCACACTTAAAAAAAATAAATTAAAAGCCATTTGTCTGAGTTGTGACCAGACTATGCAGGAATTGAAAAAAATCCTTTGAAAATCAATTACAATAAGCAGAAACACACTTACTGAATGAGAAAGGTTTCATCCATTACTTTTCATCTGGATAGTTTATGTGGAAAAAATGAGACTTGATTTTATTCTCAATTAACTTCTTAATTACAAGTGAAGCTCATCTTAAACAAAACTGACATTTAGAATCATTCATGTTTTTACTGTGGGGTAATAATTGAAAAGTATGGACAAAATTTAGCATATTATTAAAAATAAAACAAATCCAAGCTACAATAAGATACTTTTAAACCTTCCTGCTCCACTGCCTTCTTGTTCAGGGGTGGGGTGTTTCTTGTTATGCCAAAAACCCAAAATCAGTCAACATGTTGAGCAAAGCTAAAGCCTCATATAGGTGTGCAAATGTGAAGCCTATCAAAGAGTTTTCCGAGCATTAGGCGTAAATTTTTTGTTAAAATAAGCAAGATTATAGAATGTTGCCAAATAAAAGTACTGAAACCCAACACTCATAGCCTGGTGTTCCATAGTGTGTTTTTATCCAGTTAATGCTGCCTCTTTTGGGGATGGCATGTGACAATGACTGCTCTTCCCCCTGAGATGACTGGGCTGCATCCCTCTAGTGATCCAGCGCTGCTGCTGACTGGGTTTGTGGGGAACAGAGAGGTCACTATGGCTGCTGCATCCTTAGAGCTTTCTGTCTGTGTAGGAAGCAATTTATTTCATAGAATCACAGAATGGCTTGGGTTGGAACAGACCTTAAAGATCACCTAGTTCCAACCCCCCTGCAAGGGCATGGATACCTTCCGCTAGATCAGGAAAAGCAAAAGAAAAATCCAAACATACTGAAGGTAACTGAAACAGCTCACTCTTTTTTTTATGGAGGAGTACAATTTTTCTGGCACAACTGGATTTTTTCAATACAAAATTTGGACAAGAACCGCTTAACATCAGTCCAACAGGTCAGACAAGCATGTAGGGTTCTGCCACAGAAAACTGTTCAACAACGTCCTCAGTTAGGTAATTACAGTTTCACCAACACTGTAAGAACTTAAACATAGTTGAAAAACTACACATGGAAATAAATTTAAAAGAAAAATCACAGTGCATTGTTCAGCAAGCAGTATCACAAGTGATTTCCATCTAACTCAGTGCAAAAATTAGCAGCAAAACCAGTGATAAAAGAGTAATACAGGGAATGTATAATTAGGAAATCTAGTATTTCTATATGTAAAGGAAAAAGTAAAATGCAAAGTGTGGTTATATTCTGAAGAGTACCAAACATGGATAACCTCACTTTATTCATTGTTTGTCTTGTTATTATGCTACAATAAAAAATACAAAAAATATTAACTCTTACAAGTTCCAGAGAAGAATAAGGGTGGGCTGAGAGAAGAAACTGATTGGCCTTTGCCTGTTCATCAGCATCCACACAACACTGTCCTCTTCCACACTGGGATATGATGATCCAGCAGCCAGAAAGCAACGCTTTTAGGACCTGACACCCTGAGCTGAATTGCCAGGTGAGAAACTGGAAAGAATGAAGCAAAGCAAAACTCTTGCCTTTCAGCCTCAGAGCCTTCCTGTTTGCCAGGGAACTGGCCTGGAAGCCTAGAGCTCATTTCCAGCTACTTTTCTGATTATAACCACACTTCCGAGTGCTACAGGGACATGCTCATATTCTATGAGAGAGGGAGCAGTTCGAGACACAGTGGAGACAGCAGTTCCTCATGCTAGCAACATCTCAAAAGCAGCTTTCAACAAGAAAAACTAAAACATACCAGGCAGCACTCAGAGAAGGATTTTTTAGGAGGCCGTGCAGGAGGGGGTGGTCCCTGATCCCACTCCCAGAAGGCCATTGAGTTCTGACGAAGCAAAAGCTCCTCCGATGGCTAAGAGGAGGCAGATGCCCCAATGGCAGAATAGCCAGAAAGAAAGAAGAGACAAAGCAGAAGAGGCATGCATATGATCCACAGCCAAAAAAAGAAGAAAGTAAATACATGACAAAATACTGAAAAGGCTCTTCTGAGATATAACACATAAGGCAATGTTTAAAATACACTTGCAAAGCCATGTTAGCAAAAATAGCAACAAACATACAAGTGCTGTTTTGCTGAGTTTCCATGAAACATCATTTGAAGCTGTGGTTCAAGAGTCCACTCACCCATCTGGGTTCTTTCAGAAGGCAAATGCCAACACTGGCCAACATAATGCAACGAGATTTACCACAAAACAGCATGAATGCTTTATTTTTGCTAGTGCCATACAGAAGCAGCACATGGACATCAAATGGAATAACATGGCAGAAAATATTTAATGATGGAGAAGAAACTGAAAAGATGGGAAGGAAATGAGTTCATGTGAATGACATTTACAAGACGCATGGCGGTTTCCAAGCTTTAGGCGTAAAAAGCCCCAAAGTCTTAACCTTTCAAATAGGCTTACTCGTGTCAGGAATCTTTGTGAGAAGGACAGAGAAAAAAATTCCTTTAAAAAAAGAAGCCCTGCCTCATTCACCTTCACAGCACTGACATTTATTCAAGGACTTGATTTTTCCAGAGACCTCCACCATAGCAAGAACCCAGCAGCTGCACCTAGTAACACTCAGTAACACAACCAAATCAGCGACAAAACCATTTTCGTGACAAAAAAGGGATTGCCTTATTCCAAAATCATGAAAGCATTTTGTTTATGTTGTGTGCTTTGAAGTTGCATAACATCCACAAGCACCTATGACAAGCGGCATCTAAATGGCTACAAAGACCCATACAAACCTTAGGACTGCCCCAAAACTGCCCAAAGCAATAACACATCATTACTCTAAACCTCACCTCCTGGCTCCCAAGCTCATGCCACTCACAGAAGATGCCACCTACCTCCCTCAAATCATTGTCCAGACCGATATGCTCCGAGTGCTGCCGCAAGCGGTCCTTCCTCCGCTGCGTGGTGGTGCTACGACTGGCCCAGCGGCTGCCAAGTCAGAGAGAGAGACAAGACATATGTGAGAGGAAGATGTATCAGAAGGGAAAGCCCGGATCAGGAGCCAGAGGACATGAGACTGCAACAGTTGAAGTGAAAGCACAAACTTGGATCTGCAGTAGATGCGGGTGCAAGCTGGCGTCCAATCTCCCAGTGGGAAACCGCCTGGCTGGTGACAGGCCAGCACGCACCCAAGAGGAAAAAGCCCTGGTGGAAACATGCCTGCTGCCTGCCAGGGTCTCCAGTGAGAGCTCCTGTGCTACCCAAATGCAGGTCATGCCACAACACTGATGCCACCACTATGCAACCGGTTATACTTGGGTTACCCAACACCACCACTGTTTGCTGCGTTTGCTGAAGTCTGATAAAAATGGTGCCTGTAGGAACAAACAAAATAAAACAACTTTAGCAACTTCTAAGATTTCCCGCTTTTATGGGAAGTGGTACTTCTCCTTTCTCCACTTCCTGTGGTCCTCCCAGGAATAATTTCAGAGCAAATTCTTATTGCAATGAGAACTACTGTGATATTGGATGCACCTATGTCTAAAGACCATAAACAATGTTGATGTTCCCGGGATTAATCACGTTGCTATCTCCACCATATCTTTATTACATAGAGCTTCAAAATACCACAGAAAGCTTTTCTTTTTTCTACATATTCATGTATGTCCAATTGAATTTTTCCCTCATCTGAAGCTGTTGCCTGAAAACAGCCGCTTTCAGGCAACAGGTTTGAAACTAAGCAACCTTAAGGCTGCAAGTGCCCAAGCTTCCAAGTGTCCAAACTTCTTTATGCAAAAACAAGATAATTCTGTCCCAAGGACTTTCTAGTCTGACTGTAGGGCTCCTAAGGATACCACAGTCTTCTGTCAAATCCTTGAAAGCAAAAATGGTCAACTAATGCAGAGAATAAAGAAGTTAATACATTATTTATAAAAGAAAGCTGAAATAATGCTGTAAAAAGCAACCTATCGAGCATTAAGTATCTTAATGGACAGGAAGGCTGTATCTTCAGAATGAGATTACTTAATTACTGTGGTTGCATTTATTAAAATTAAAAATATCTTTCAAATAGAGATAAGAAAAAAAAGCCTCCAAGCATGTATCCTTTCAGCTGCTTCATGCAGTCAGCTGCCTCTCTCCTGCACTCAGAATTAAAAGAGCAAAACCAAGGCGAAGCAGAACACAAAGCCTGCCTAGAGCACCATCCAGCTCCAGTGCCTGCTAGGATGTATGAATAAGCAACTGCTCTCAGATGGCTTCTTCTACAGGACCTGTGATCAACAGGAGAACCCCTGGGATTTGGGTTCTTTTCCTTTGATTCATCTATACAGAAGGAAACCTAGAGATACCCACATCAAAGACAGAACTGTCTGCTTGGTGATCTTCTTCACACAGGTAGTATTGGTGAGGATAGCAGCAGCCTTTGGATCCCAAACCCACCTACTTCTGCATGCAGCCCAAACAGGAGCACATACAAATAGGATGTGGGATCTGAATTATGTGGGCAAGGACTTTCAGCTGGTGACATGTAAACAGATGCACAAATGGAGGAGAAAACCCTTGCACAGAGCTGGACTAGGGTCGTGACATGTCCAGCAAGCGGCTCGGGATGCATAGGGAGGGGAAACTGATCCAAGAGAAGAGCAGGGTTGTGACCCCTGGAGAACAAACCCTCCTCTCTCCAGAGAGAAGGACTGCATACATGTACCGAACCACCTCCACCAATTCCGCCAGTGGGTCAATTGAAGACCAGATTTTAGCTAACCACACAGATAACAAAGGAAAAAGTCACAGGATCTACAGTTTTTATAGCCAAATCTAAGTCACTTCCTACCTCCCAAATAGCACCAAGAAAACAAGTACAAAGTAAGAAGCAAACATCTGGGTCTGCGTGTTACTGTGTTTCAGCACCTCACCATCCCATATGACAAGAAATTTATTTTCAAAGCAACGTAGCCTCAAGTCTCTGGTAACTAAACAAAACAGCCCAATAGGTGTCTGCACAGCAAACGCTGATCCCTTCTCAGAGGAATACATTACTGACATAAGTGTCTTTGCACCTCCTCAGAAGTCTTAAGAAAATACAGCCTGTGTGTTCAATAAGTCACCACTTACTTTTTTCAGAAGCAATACCCAATGCTTCATTGCATGACTGAGAGGGGGGAAAGAAACCCTTACAATTTAATACTCTCAACAAGTAGAAATGCAGCACAAAGAATAGCCCCTCAAACACAGTAAAAGTGACTTTAGCTACCTGGCTCTGGAGACATTCCATGTATTGTGAGTTAGTACAATGCTTACATTTAACATGATGGAATGCCAGTAATACATTGGAAAGTTAAGTTAGAGATCAAATATTACCCACAGCCTATTTTTCTGCTCCAATTTATACACTATTTTCTGAATTCTAGACAAAGTTTAGATCCCTCTTGACCTGGCACTTCTGCAGTTACTGGAAGAGGTAAGAATTGCCAGAAGCATTCTTTGAGGGAACATGTCCCACTGAAGGCAAAAGCAGAATGAAATCCACAGAAATGCACCATCATTAAAGCATTTTCAGTTAATTCTAGCCCTGTTCTCCACCTGAGAGAAGGCACAGACCATGCTCTGGATTATTAATCAGAACTATATATACAAATGTAAAGATCATTGGACACTTGTGGAAAAAATCCCTGTTGCTCATTAAGTGGAGCAATCACACATGCAGCAAGCTGTGCGTTCCCTCTTCCCCAACCTCTGAAGTAGAAAGAGGAGCTGCTGGGGCGATGGGTGAGGTCTGTGCATTCAGACACTGCTCTGAATCTCCTCAGGAGATTTGGTGAAGATCTAACAGCAGATATGCAGGATTAAGCAGCTAAATCTTTTAAAGCCTTTTCTTTACTGGGCCACGTGGAATTTTCCCAAAATAACTCTTCAACACTGCAATAACCATTCCCTCCTATCATCAGCAGAGATTGCATTTTACACTACTCTCTGCCTCTCCCTTCTGTCACTAAAAGGGAATTAAGGGGGGTGAAAGACCTCCCCCCCGTGGCCATACCCCTTCCTTTGGGTTGCTGCAATCCCACATGGGTGCCTCTCCTGGCCCTGCTGGGATGGAGCTGTTGCTGGCTGCTGCCTTATTTACACCTTAGCGCTGATGCTGCTGAAGCAGTGAGGAAGGCTGTACTCACATGAGCAAACACCTGATTGCTGCTGTCCCTTGATTTGGGGCTTTTGAGCTGAACTGCTATCACCTCTGCCCATGTGCAGCACGTGAAATGAAGCCCTCCAGGCTGGTCCCTGCCTTTCCATCAGCACTGCTGCCAAACTACATGTTGTTGCAGTCCTCCCTGCCCCTCAAAACGCTTTCTCCCCTTTATTTTTTGCCTGTAGGACCAAGAGCGTGGACTACTGGCATGCTTCATTTACTCTTCACAGGAAGAGCATTGCTATGAGCACCAAGTCTCTGGGGATGAAGCAGCCACAGCTCAGGTGCTGTGTTGCAGAGCCCCCAGGGAGAAGCTGCCTACATGCAGGGAGAAAGAGGTCATTTCAGTTGCCAATTTGTATCTAACTCCCATGCTCAGAAATTAAGGCTCTTCACTTCCAGGGACTGTGAAAAAACAATGGTACTTCAGGGGAGGGACCAGGGAAAACTGGTGTGTTCCATATAGGGAAATGAAATGAAGGCACCTCCAACTAAGACCTATTTAACTTGAAGACAGAGAAGTCAGTATGGTTTAAGATCAAATTCAACCCTACAAGCATAGGAATAGGTTTGTAGAGATTAGGAGGAAATATAAAGGTGACACTTTGAAAAGATGATACTTAACCTGTGATGCCTGATTTCTATTATAAAAGTGGTAAGGTAGTCAGCATCACAGCTGAGCTGTCAGAAACCAGTCTAGCAGAACAGAGCCTCATACCAAGGACTGGCCGTGCTGTACTGCAGCCATATGTACACCTTTCTCTCCCCACCTACCTTTCCCCCCGCACCACTTAAAAAAGATCCACGGAGAAATGAAGAAGTTATGTCTACCCAAACCAGACATGGGTGTAATAGATAGGATATATACAGCAACACAGGAAACATGCTGCTAGAGAACTTCATTCACAGACAGATTTAACCAATATTGCCATCACCATGGAAATCGCTATTGTAATTTACAATTTACAGTGACAACAGAGAAAAGGAAGAAGACAAATACACTTGTCTATAGGACAGAACCTAAATCTCCCCACATATAGACCATCTCCTAAGGTAGACTGTTATTTAAGTCTGCAAATCATGACAACACCCCTTTACCTATATACTTCCATCAAAGGAGTTAACTGACTGTGTTTCTGTATTCACAAATTAGCATGTATCTGTACTACACCCTCCACCAAATCCCCCAAAAGCATGAGTGCAGCCTGCACATTTTAAATACACACAGACTGCACGTGTAATCTGCTTGGGTTCGCATGTAGCTTGCATGGGTCTAGACAGAGATTCCAAGCCAAATACAAATTGGACCAGAGAAATTAAAAGGAAGGTTGAAACCAAGCTTCACCTGCTAATGGATGGGCTGACAGGGGAGGGGTTCTGAACTGTGAATCTGCTCTGCACACAGTGCTCCACAGTGAGGAGGATAAAGGCTCAAATAGAGATTAATACACCTTTCCATCTCTTATGTAGGGCTGAACAAGAAAGCTTTTAAACGGCTCGAAGAGTGGACAAAAATGAGCAAAATGCCTTGCAGAGGGTGATCTTGCAGTGACAGGCTGTCTTCTCAGATTGTATGAAAAGAAGTGATTTAAAGGGGTGACACTCACAACCACCATCTTCTGCAAGGAACAGCAGTAGTAATTTGCCAGCATCACCCTTTAAAGCCCTGACAAATCACTGCCAGAAGTTGTATTTAATTTGCAAACTCCCTTGAGACAGTAATGCTGTTCAAGGAAGAGTAAATAGAATAGAGGATGCAAGGATCTGACACATATTTTTCCCGGTGAGCTTTAATTCT